AAGAGAGTGGAGCCAACGTAAATTCTTTTGGACAATGTTAGATGTCAAAATATGTATAGTATCAGTATAGATGCAGAAAATCAAGATTACAGTTTTGTCCGTAGGTGTGTTCTTCACTATTCTGATGACTGTTTTAAGTACATTTAAGGCGATAATCTTTAATCTTTTAGAGGATAAAAATATTTCACTTGATTCATTTTACATTTCTGACTAAGACATCACAACCTGACATTGCATTTATTCACAATATATATATATATATATATATATTGAAAAGGAGTAAATTTAACTGTGTCAGAATTTAATCCTCACTTGTTTGTGTAATTCTGAGGATATAATGTTTGTATTTTCCTTATAAAAAGCTTAATTGAGAAATTTGCACTGGTGTTTGAGCCAAGAACGCCAACAGAAAAGACTAAAACCTAAAGCAACCATGGCCCTTGATGTCCGACAGCCTGGTACATTTTACATTCACAGCCTCAGTGGGAGGTTTTGGCCTTCAAGGAACTCGAGCGACCCCCCCCCCCCCCGTGCGCTTCTCTCTTTCCGTCTCCTCTCCAGGCACAAGTGAGGGATTTTGGCGACCCTAATCCATGTCGTGCAAAGTTGTTTCAACTCTGAGCCAGCACTCTGAAGAAAAGGAAGTGGGTGCGTGGTGGTGCTGGTGGTGAGCGGGGAAATGCTGCGTTCTGTCATTGTTGTGCGACTTCAAAGCCGCCAGCTCACCATGTTCTCTTCTGAAATCCCCCAAAACCTGACAACATTAGAATACCATCAAACACTCTCTGGCTGCCTTTGAAATGCCACTGACACTGTTTGGCGTTGGCAATTTGCAGACTCTAAAGAGTGCACCCATGTTATTGAAATAAATCTTAGGCTTGTAATGGGAATGGAAATGAACACATCTTTCATGCTTTGGCTTAGAAGTGAGAGTTGAATATTGAGATGGAGCCTTGTTTCCCTCGAGAGTCGCTTGTTGACTTTGTAGCTCTCCCTCAGTGTCTGTCGTAACCTCGCCTCTCCTGTCGTTTTCGTCTTTGTTTTCATTTTCATCTCGTCCTGCTCCACTCTTCACTCCAGTATTCTCTCCTCCTCTTCATCCAGATGGCAGAAAATTATTCTGTCCAGAGGGAAGATTTTAAAATGTCCAGAGCAAGAGTTTTATAAGGAGCTAGACTAAACAGTCACAAAGGTTAAGTGTAGTAAATGAGGGCTTTGATAGAGTGTAGTCTATTGATTTTCTAGTCAGGGCAACACTAACCATGGAGTGAATTACCATTTCTCTTGTTTGCTGTGATGATGGAAGACAGACGTGTACAGATTGACGAGTTCAAGTTGTTTTTCCAAGGTTAAAATGGCGAGAAGTGTAGATGAGTTGGCAAACATGCAGCTGAGAGGGAGCAGATTGAGTCTTGAAGCAAAAGTTAATTATGAATCCCACCTTCATTGTGTTTAATTTCATTGAGAAACTACAACAAGAACAGTCACAGCTTTCTCCGCAGTGAAAACAATTTGTGTTAATACAGCGCTGGGTTGCCATCGTATTTGAACTGAAACAATAGGCTTTTCCCTACTGTTTGGTAAACCTCACACATGAGGACTACCAGCTATTAAAGCCCAAATACAACAAGGTATTACTCAAAATAAGATCAAGTGACTGTTTCTAAATAATTAAAATACTACATGCAGTTAGTATTTGTTGTTTAGCAGCAATCTTATGTTAACTTTATAGCCTATGTGTAGGAGCTATATTGTGAAAGTGGTAATTTTGCACATATTTGGGTTACATTTGTTATTCATTTGCACATTTAATATTTACACAGACACACACACATGGTTACTGTACATGCACAACTCTACATTATTATTTTAAAAACACTGTGGGAAGCTGATTTACTCTGTTTTATATATTTTGAGTAATTATTAATAACAATAATATGTCATACTGTGTGGGTTGTCAGTCTTAGTGGATATTGCTACAGTGATGGTTACTGGTGCTAACAGTCAGTGGAGTTTAATAATACAGGCCCAAACAGTGCTTAAAAAGAGAAACAATGAAACTCACACTGTTTTAATAATGATTATAATGTCAGGCAATTATTCTCTGCATTCCATGTTTTCTACAAAACCGAAGAATAGAACTGAATAGCACCTCCCTGGACTCTTTCCAATATACAGCTGCCCACTGCTCTGCGTGGTCACTTGTGTGTGTTGTGTTCCGTATGCTGTGTCCACCTATGGATGTAGCATGATTGTGCGTGCATGATTGATGCGGGACGACAATAAAGGAATCTTAAAAAGTCAGTTGGAGGTGTGTGACTTTGAGTCCCAGATCTCCTTCACACCTGCTATCAAAAAACTCAAGAAACAACCATTTCTTTGTGTGTGTGTGTGTGTGTGTGTGTGTGTGTGTTTTGGATGAAGGACACTGGTTAGAACATTCTTAGTTTGTATCCTGATTCAGGCCAGGGTCTTTCTGTGTGTAGTTTACATGTTCTCCATTGTGACTTTTTTCCACTTTTCCAGGGTGGGGTTAGGTTTAATGGAGACTCTGAATTGACCATCGGTGTGAATACTTGTAAGTGTGTGTGGTTGGTTGTTTGTCCTGATATGTTAGGCCTATTACGTGTTGAATGTTGAGCCCAGATGACCAGAATAAATGTGATGAACACTGACAGTGCTCAGTATTAGACTGCAGACAGTCTGCATTTCCTGTTTCATAATCAAAGCCATCAAAGAGTTTTACTAGTATGTGAAGCAGCAGTGTTAGAAACATCTTGGTTTGGCTCAGCAATAACACAAAACAGCACCGGCACCATGTCAGGATGATAAACAGTGGGAATGATATCGGTAAGATTGTATGGATGCAGTAAAGCTGCATCTAATAATCATATAAACTATAACTTCATTATAATCAAACATAACTACAACAGTACTATAGCACACACTGGCTTAAAACAATCTACAAAAATAACATTGGCTCAGATACAAAAATGTGCACAATTAATGTTTGTTTTTTATTCCGCCATTTGTTTTGCTGCCACCCACTTATATTGATCCTGCCTTTTTAAAGAGAAACTGTCGGACTGATTGATTCGCATGTTAATTGGCTGTGTTTATGACCATGCCCACTGTTTAAACTATTTGTATTGCAATGATTAGAATACATTGCATTTGTGAAGCAGTGAACATTCATTCATCACAGTGGTAACAGCATATTGGTTTCCAGTTTTAATGAGCTGGTTCAGAAGAGAGAGCTTGCAGCCTTTGTACTGTGGATGGAAGCCGTGTTTTATCTTCACAGAGGCAACGCTGATCCATGAGTCGCTCTGAGAAACTTGATAAATATGGGCTCAAATCTGAACTTCTCTCTTCCTCAGAAAGATTGGCTCTCAGTCTTCAGTGTGAAGAGAACACACAAGGAGAGACATCAAGATCTTTTGTGAAAGATTTCCTTCAGCTGGTCATCAGCAACCACCGACTTCTTTGGTGCTGACAAAACATTGCATCCTAAACTGATAAATCATGTGGGACATTATCTGGATCGCCTAGCATCCCGTTCTCATCCCAGAGAAGAGAGGAAACATAACATCTGCAATTCTTTTCTTATTTTCATGATGACCATGTAAAAGTATTAGTTTTTTGTAAACTAGGTAACAGAGAACTAGTCAGTCAAAACCATAGACTATATAAAGATGGATGACAAGCCTCCACTTCAGCCCAATGTCCAAAATATCCCGGAAACATAGATAACTTCTAACATCAAGTCTGCGGAGTGGGGATTGGGGGATGGAGCCATTAAATGTAGGCATCACCCATACAAACACTTGACCAATGGCTCAGCTACCAATCATGACGCTTCAGTCTGTTTTTATAGACTCACATAACTTTCAACACCAAACTTACCTTAAAAAATTGCACCTAAACTGACAGAAAGCACTTTCGGTTTTCATTTTGCTTTAAATTTGGTCCATTTTCCATCCACTAACATAGAGGAGGCTGGATTTTACGACCTATATTTTGGCTTCATATTTTGTAACACAGGAGGAAGTGATGACATGTCGTCCATCTTTATATAAAGGCTATGTTCCATAACGTGGCCACATTAGGAATGACAGCCATGTGGAAGATCCTGTGCGTCATGTTTTTTTCGATTTCATGGAGAAATCATGAGGAACTAATAACGACTTGCATAAGCACCCACATGTCTGAGGCAGCGTGGCTTGAGATGAGTCCACACACTGAGAGTTGTACAATACCATGTGATTCCTGTTGCACCTACGTTGGTAATCAACAACACATGCACACATCCTTCGTGATCCAGAACAGCAGGGAGCGCCATGGGAGGACGAGGTAAAGAGGAGGTGAAGGATGAAGCAGGGCTGAGGTTGGGGGGTGGGGGGACATGGGGATCATGTCGGGACACCAAGGGGAGTGTGTGAGGCAGATAAAGGAGAGGATGAACACGATCAGAGGGGATAAAGCCTGGCAGAGTCCTTGGCGGTGTGTCCCTCAGTCCGAAGAGAGGCGCTCACATGTGCAAACGTCAACCGCACATTACTCAGCGGTGACACTTCTCTCCTGCTGTACCTTAAATCCCTTCTCCTCCTGTAGACCCTGCAACTGGGTACAGCTGCATTTGTCTGTAGCAGAAGTCACAGCCACACATTAATGTGCAATATGTTATTCAGTAAGTCATAAATATTGCAGTAGGTTTATGTGAAGAGATCACCGACTTTTATTGAACCCTCACAGACAGAGCTCTTCAGATCATCATACTCTTACTTCCGGGTATCTTGTCTTTGTTTTGATGTCTTTAGGGTGTCTGCTTATATCTTGAAAATACTTGTTGTCATGGATTGTTTGGCAATTCTTTGTCTTCCACTCCCGAACCTCAGGATGCTTGTTTCAAACGACTGACTTTTCTTGACATTTCTGTTTATGATCTGTTCAGAGTGACGGCATAAATAATACTCACCCGATCCATGTGTTTCTTCCAGTCGAGTTCGACGACTGCGCGGCTAACGAAGATGTGACGTTTGAGGTGTCGGACCCCAGCTTCCAGGTGGACGGGGATTTGAATCTGGTTCCACATCAAGACGTCCCGTACAGCGGGCCGGTCCTCTTCATCCATGGGGTCAGTGCACATGCAGACGACGTGGCAGAGGTGGAAATCTCTGGACTGCCGGTCCAGTCACTGCACACGCTCAGGGTGAGTAGAAATTGCTGTGTGTGTTTTGTGTCTTTTATTTGTACTAGAATTGAAAAGGTTTCACATATTTGAAGACTGAAAAGGTTCATTCATGTATTATAATGAGACATAATGTATCACATGTAATGTCTCTCTGTGATTTAGAGGACACGGTTGAAACTGCTTTCATGTCTGTGCTGCAAACATGAAGCTTCAGTCACTTGCTGGTTAGCTAAAGACTGGGAACAAGGGGAAATAGCTAGCCTGGCTCCAACAAAAGAAAACTAACCATGGCAAACACCTCCAAAGCTCACTGATTAAATTCTTATATATTATGGATTTCATTTCAGAAACAAAAATCTAAACATGTTGCATTTTTATAACCTTGCTGATCAATCTAATGTTAAACTATTCCTTAAGCGATGAGTCAAAAGGGAACGTTTGCATAAATAGTGATGTAAACATGGGGGTGAATGTCATTCCACGAAACAGTCATACATTAGTGATCTTAACTGAGAATTAAAAAACATTAAAAACCAAATTCATCAACTGTTCAGCGGCATCTGTTTCAATCATATTCATGCACATGTTGATGAATTCTAATCACTCATAAATGTGACGCACAGTCACTGCGACCTTAATTGTCCTCACCAGACAGTTGGGAGAAACACATATCTGCAATCTTTGAAACCAAATGGAGATTTAAATAAGTACAGACATTTATTTTTAAAGAATTCAAAAATAAATTAGATAGTGCAGATATGAAGGGAACAATCAGTGTTGTTAAAATCAAGCTCAGGCACCACAGCCTCAGTAAAAGATGACTGATGGTTGGTGAACACAGAGAGGTGATTGATGCTACAACCAGCAAAAGGACCGTTTTACAAGTAGAAAGAAATGGGTGTGATTTACTGAAGGAGAACTTGTGAAAGCTTTCGGAGGAGCTGCCAAACCTGTGAGCATATTGCCGCCATCATCAGAGATGTGTCTCTCTACTCTCTACTGCTGCAGAGGGCAGCAACAACCGAGACTGGCACTAAATCTGTCCGTGGGCCGACGGACGTCACGTCTGATGAACGATAGCGTAGATTACAGATCCATTTTATCGACACTAAAAATCTTTAGCTCCTCTAAAGATGCTTAACATGCTGGGATGTCCAGTGACAGCGAGTGACTTGTAGAGTCTCTGTGGGTCCACTGTGATTTCACATGTGCTTTACACATGCGCTGAAGAAGTCTTGTACAAAAAATTCTTGAATACAAGAATGAACTGGAACTTAAACATTGTTTAATACCCACGTGTGCATATGTGTTATTTGTATAAGGTCACATGGAGGGGAAGGAAAAAATAACAGAGGAACATAAACAGCTGTAATGTGTGTGCACCAGGCCTTTGTCTCTCAAGTATTACTCTGACCAGGTCCATTTATATGAAAGTCTGGCTGTTAAAGCCTCTCCTCAGCCCACTCTTCAGTCTTTGGCTTTGCTTCTCTGCAACGTGTCCTTTTTGTTTGTGCAAGCTACAGCAAATTGACGTCCTTACAAAACGCTGGGCACCTGAATAAACCCCATTGTCCCTCATCCACATCCTCCATCCACCTCTGTTTAGTCAAAATACACTAAGTTGATTAGGAAAAGTTTCCAGGGACTGCAGGTTCAGTCAGAGTTTCCTTCTCCCTCTCAGAGATCATTTGTCTTCCTGCTGCAGTGCTCAGTGTCCCGCTGCTGCTGCTCTTCCAGCCCCGAGCTTAATGAATGTCTCCACATCCCTCTTGGCATGATGTGGCTCTAATTTGTTTGTGCCTCTCACCATCATTTATTTGGTTAGCTAGTCCATGGGTGTTACCTTGGCAATTAATTGATGATACAAGTGAATTAGTCTTTGGCAAGTTATGAGTAAAGTAAAGTTTCTGTAAAGGCTAATGTGTTTGTGTGTTTACCTTCCCTGAGACTCTTGTTTGTGTACGGTTTCATGTGACATTTCATTTTTAGACTATCAAGCACTGTTATATAGTCACTTCTTTAGGGGAAATTGTAGTTAATTAAAACTTGGATATGATTTTTTTTTTTTTACCTTAGGCTGTCATTTGTGTGAGTTGTAATAATAGCACTGTATCAACTGAAGTGATTGACGTTGCTGCAATGAAAACTGAGGAAAGAGAAGACACAGGAGTGGCTAGAGAATCAGTAAAACAGTGTATAAACAAGATTACATTAAAGGCTCTTTCTCACTTATTCTTTTTTGCTGTGGACATGTCAGTTTAGTCCAAACCTAAATAACAGTTCTGAAAGGGGCCTTGGACCAGAGTCTGGACCAATCGGCCAAAATTTGGGTTGTCTTCATCCAGAACAAACTGAACAATGGTTTGGATCATTTAATGAGTGACATCATTTCTTTGGATAGTTGGGAACTTTGGAGAAATTGCAGGAAGTCAAGAGCATTAAAAAATAGGAGAAGAAATAGAAGCAGAAGCAGCTCACATAATTGTTTGCAGTTATCACATCAGACTATATAACAAACTACAAGAACATTGATTTTGCTGGTATTAATACTGTAATTATATTAAAGTAACGATGGAATTAATGAAGTGAATGGAATCTACTACTTTTTTGTATCATATGTAAAAGTTAGCAAATACAACAGTTGATTGACAAAAACAAAAGCCAATTAATGTCAAGTATTGGTAGATGCAACCCACGGATACGTAATGACAACAAAACGTACGCATATCAGACAAAAGTCTCTATTCCGCTGAGACAAAACAAAAAATCTAACTGGATCAAATGTAAAGAATTGAACAAAGACATGAACCTTGTTTGGGACCATGGTCCAGATTTTGAGTTGTGAAAACACACTGAGACAAAGTGGCTATACAAACCAAATGGTTGTATTTCGCCAAAAATGACTCTTGACTCTTGAGTTTCCTGTTCCAAGTTTGATGTTGAGCTTGATATCTCTGACTAACTAGTTTGTCCTTCCCCAGAACAAGTGCTTTAAAGTGCCCTATATTCTTAAGTAGAGTAAGTTGTGCTTGCAGAGCACACACAGTCAGGAAGTGCATGACTTAGTAAAAGGGTTAAAGAGAGAAACAAAGACAAACAAAGATTGTCGGAAGATCCTGGTAGAGAGGAAGACATCCTGAGGCTAATAGAAGCCTATGAGGGAGGCAGAGTCTTCTGGTGAGGCAGGGTGTTTAAAAGCTCTCATTATTTCACTATCAATTAATCTACAGAAGCTTCTCAAGCTCTGGGACTCATATAATCAGAAAATCCATTGTTCCTTTCTCTGTCCATATCCTGTAGTAGCCTCGCACTCCCCCCGCCCCGCCTCGTCTCTCCAGTGGCCCATCAAACACGTGTTCAGGCAGCTTCTAAAGAATCTGTAACTAACTCATGGCATATTTAAAAGCTTGTTTCAATAAGCCTGGGGTTTCACTTGCGAAATGACTCAGCTGACAACGCTGACTGCACTGGGATGGTTTTAAATCTCCGATCTGAGATAGTACTCATGGTTAGTCAAGCTGCTTTAATGCTTTCTCACCCCTCCTGTTTTTCAATTATTATACCACGGAGCAGGTTTCTTTTTGAAACTGTATTTTTTTTTTTTTTGTGATGAAATCTTTTTGTTATGCTCCTGTCAGTTAGATTCTCTTTTTGCCCAAACCTCCCTCTTGTTTCCTCTCTGAACGCAGCACAGGAAACATTCCATAGTGAATTTATTGGCATAACAAATGGTATCGTGGCAGAAAATATTGGCTGATGATAATTGATAAGTGCTGTGAGCAAAGGTGGAGAGAATCAGTTTTTAAATCCTCTGTGTATTTTGCTGTAACACAGGCCCAGAGGAAGAGAAGTGGCTGATGAATGATTCCTATTATGGGCAAAACTCTGAATTCCAAAGTATTTTATTCCCCCCTTTTTTCTAACCGATCAATACATGAATTAATGGAAGAATGCATTTCAATTTAACAAATGCACGCTCCGAGATATGGACTTTTATTCTGTGTGTTATTCTGTGCTGTTTTGGTTGTGTTATGCAGAACATTTCTTGCCTTCAGGGGCATAAACAGGAACCATTCAAATGTAACAACTGATAAGAGGCAAAATAATCTGAGTCCAAAAGCCTATTTATTTTGCTTTTGTTATGATTCATCCATTTTGCGCACGCAGAATGAAATGTAATATTGCATCCTGAGCAAAATCCTCATCCTGCAACAGCAAATAGATTTTTTTTTTTTTTTCAACCAAGCTCCCAGTGTTCAGTTGGGCTTTCTGGGGATGACTAAGATGTGACATCTTGCAACCGCAGCACAACAGCTCACATTATACAGCGAAACACAAATAATCTTCCTCTCACTGTCTCCAGCCCACTCACACTATCTCTCCTTAGCTTGTTCTGTAGCTGTCATTTATTAATTCTGTTTACTGCCTTTGTCTATTGTCTCCCTTTTTACATTAGTTCCCCCCTCACGCTTCATGCTTTGCTGAAGAGGTTTAATATATCTGCAAACTTACACATTTTTTCCCTGGTTTTTTCGTGTGTGGGAGTGAGAACGGAAAGCTTAACGTCATGCTGCTTGACAAGAGCAGCAAAACAAACCTTCACCTTCCAATTATTGATATGCTTATTCAAAAATAAGCTTTTGTGATTGTTAAATTGCTTTGTCTCACAGCAGGTCAAATTCTACATGAAGGGTGTAAAGAGGTTTTTGGCAATGAAGATGACAGCAAAGACAGTTTCGACATTTGTATTAAAATTACAAGCGCCTGAGCTGCATGTTGATGAGACATTTTGCCTTAATGAAGTTTTGATTATTATTATCAAACCATCCTGCATCCAGAGTCAGAGGCACAGAGTAAAACAAAGAGATTCAGAGAACAATATGAAGATGTGCTTGACAAAATCAGGGGAGCTTGTAGGTAAAACAGCTATGGATCAAGATAAGAGACAAGAGGGGGGGTGAACTCCAGTGTCCAGAACAGAGGGGTTTCCAGTGGGAGAGCAGGAGGAGTGTGGCTGA